CTGCTAGGTTGGCGAGCAGCTGGGACAAAGTGACGGGAGCTCACTCCATCGCGTGGATTCGATCTTACGACTGCTGGTATTCTGACCCTGCAGGACAGGCTTCTGCAGTTTAGCCCACAGCGCCACCACATTCCACGTGACCATTGGCTACCAGCTTCTAAATAATAGTTGTTAGGTTAACAGAGCAGGAGAGGACAACTGCCTCAATAACTTTATGGCCTTTCACAGACATGTGATTGGTTACTGTGGAAAACACAATGCCAGACTGAACAGAACTTCAATCTGACCAGTAGAGCTCTTTTCATCTTTTCATCAATGTCAATATGTCGGGTAGAATCTGTCCCATTCTGTGATGTAACAATAATTTTGACAGCTTCTGAAAAACTATTCTTTTTAAATCCTGATTTTACAAAAAAATAATTATTTCATTACGCTTTATTGACTAAACTCCAGTAGAAAGCTGCAACTAGAATTGAATCAGTGGTGATTTGATGAGTCAACACCTATGTATGTTTCATTGATTCAATGTGCCTACTCTAGTTGCAATTTGCTATTGGATTTCAACCTTTGTGTTTGTACCTTTATGGTTCATTACTTTCAGCCACCTTAAAGCAATCATGGCAAAATGTAGGACTCAAATTCCAAAGGCATCTACATATAACACCAATTATATAGAAAGCCCTCTAGCACCTCTGCAATTTGTAATCTTCACTCTCACTGTAGTTTTTGCAGACCAGACAAGGATTCGGTTATCAAGGCTATGGGGTTTTAAAATACTTGTTTTGAAATCCTAATGGTCCCTACCACAATTTTTATTTATGTATGTATGTATGTATGTATGTATGTATGTATGTATGTATGTATGTATGTATGTATGTATGTATGTATGTATGTATGTATGTATGTATGTAAGTATGTATGTATTCATTCATTCATTCATTCATTCATTCATTCATTTAGCTTATATGCCGCCCATTTAGACATAGCCTTCTCTGGAAGGCTCACAAAACACATAAAAACAGTTATACATACAGTATTGACAATTTTCAACATTTATACAATAGACAATAGTTAAGGCATAGAGGAAAAGAGGTAAGTAATGCCTGGAGGGAAGGCCTATCTATATAACTAGGTCTTGAGTTGGTTTTGAAAAATGCCCAGCGAGGGAGTCAAACGGGGGTGGGTGGGAGTTCCTTCCAGAGACTGGGAGCCACTGCCAAGAAGGCCCGGTGTTTTGTTTTTATTTTCTGGGCCTCCCTCGGCATTAGGCTCCTCAAGTCGTCCCTCCTGGCTAGATCGGGTGATATGAGTAGATCTAGGTGGGAGGAGGCGTTCCGCCAAGTATCGAAAGAAATACTGGATGTTACAGAAGTGTAGCAACACTATATTTAAAGAAACCAGTGACGAGACGACTGATAGGCAGCAAGATGGACGCTGGTATGTTACCCACCTTGACCTGTGCCACTGACAACTTCCTGTTTAGGTCACTCCCCTCTTGTTCTGTGGAGTTTTTGTTCTGTTCTTTTTCTGCAATGGAAGCATACACGGTCCCTCTGCTTTGCCCTACACCACACTTACACAGAAAAGCCAGATCCAGAGTCTTTCCTATTAAAGCCTAGGTTTTACCATGTCAGGATTCCTTGGAAAAATAAAGGCATTTTTTTTTCTTATCATGAATATGCTAAATTATTCCCAAATAACAGCCATAAATTCATCTTACTAGCCTGCTGTAATCCACTGGCATCAACTCATATTAATGTAAGGTGTGGAATCAGTTGTGACAATGGAAATGAAGTACAATAACATAGTATCCACAATACCTTGGTCCATTAAGTTTGACAGTATGTGATCCACAGTGTCGTTCAGATTTTCGTAACTGCCTGCTACTCTTTGTTGCACGTTCAGGGCATCTGGCCCTACACTTATCACCAAACTTACAGATTCCTCCTAGAGGCTTGGCATTCTTTTCCTCCCCAGAAACGAATCAGTGTCTGCTAACAACTTATTCAAAACAAGTAGTTTGTTTCGAAACATGATCAGGCCTGAGATCAGAAACTGTTGCTCCTACATTCTTTCAATTTGTATTCCAGATAAGTTTAAAAGATTCCTAAAATGTTTGATGGGCACACTGCTCTCTTGTTGGCACAAGACAAATACAGCGGTACCTCGCTAGACGATTAGCTTGCAAAATGGTTAATTCGCAAGACGATGGGTTTTTGCAATCGCTATAGCGCTTCGCAAAACGGTTTTCCCTATGGGCGATTTTTGCTAGACGATGTTTCAGTCCGTGCTTCGCAAGACGGGGTTTTTTTGGGGACGGTTTTTCGCAAGACGATGATTTTGACAGCTGGGTCCATGCTTCACAAAACGGTTCTTTTAGGGACAGTTTTTCACAAGACAGCGATTTTGACAGCAAGGTCCGCGCTTCGCAAAACAGTTTTCCTATGGGCGATTTTCGCAAGACGGCGATTTTCCCCCATTGGAATGCATTAAATAGATTTCAATGCATTCCAATAGGGAACCGCATTTCGCAAGATGATGTTTTTGCAAGACAGCGATTTTCGCGGAACGAATTAACATCGTCTTGCGAGGCACCACTGTACATTTGTATTTTCCTAGGCCACTTAATGAGCTTTTCATCTTTCCTATCCCCATTTCTGTACTGCTTTTATTCCTTGCTCTTTAGACTCTGTGCTTATTCATTTCATTTTACGTTGTTTTAAGTGGATTTTATACGTCCCCCTAGGGAAAACATACATCCATAAATAAATTATATAATTTGAAAAGTGAAGGAAAAAATACTTGAAATTACTCCTAGGTATTAACCATTGCTAAGGATACAATTAGCATATCCTTTGGTTAACTCATAACACTCCTCAATTTCCTCTGGTTAAACCAAAGTGTAAATTATACATATCACATCATTACCTCATTTTCTGGATATATTTCCCTGTGTGTATCCACTTACAAATTGAGAAAAACAGAAGAAAATTGCATAAAGCTGCTTATATTGCTGCTATTTCTGTATATTTCTCCACATGTTCTATGTCTGAATGTTAAAGATCTGCAACCAATGTCATCATGCATATAAAACTGCCCCTAAGGAAGCATCTGCGACCAATTCCAAACTGTGTTAAACAAGTTTTCATGTCCAAAACACAAGGAAGACACATGTCCAGGTGACCTACTTTTCCAAAATTATATTTGACATGAAATTAAAAAATGTTGGGATTTATGGATGTCTCTTTCAATGAAGAATATAATCTTCCAGTATTTAACATTTAAGTTCTAAATTAGAAAAATCCTATTTTAAAATTATCACAAGATTTAAAAATTTCCCCAAGGGAAAAAAAATCCTTATTCTGCAGAGCCCGAGAGGGCAGTTATTGCCTAAGATATTTCTAAATATAAAACCAAAATGAGACTTAATACACAGGTATCAGTTGTTATGGTGACATCTTGAATTTGGGTATACATTCATGCTGCCAACATATTAGTGGGAGACTAAGGCTTCCCATTTAGTACTGTAAATGAACAGATATATCTTGCGGTGTTCAAACATCACAGAAGGAGATTTCTATTTGTTTGACGGGGCTTTCGAAACCCTCTCTGGAGCAATCGTGGCTCCCCTAAATCTGTTCTCGATGGTCCCCCAACTAGAGCAGATTCTGAGACTATGCAGGGGTGCTGGAAGTAAGAGGAAGAAATACGTCCTCCAGGCTCTGTTAATATACTATAAGCATGGGGACTTAGACGAATCCAATGCAACAATCCAGCATTTTAGTTCCAGTGTTCACTGTCTTGAAAACAAACACAATCTGGAACAAGCTGTTCTATTACGTACAAGTACAGTAGTTTAACTCAAAGTAACCCCTGGATGTAACTGCTTTCACAGATAGTAGATGGTCATGCCACAACTGTAATTGCACAGCAATTTGCTCACCACTTCTCACCAATCAGTAAGTTTAGGCATAAAATTTTAAAGGTCATCCACTTGTACAAGAGCAATAAAAAATTAAATATTTATTCAAATAATAAGCTTAAGTTCAGGCTGCAATGTTGGCAATGTAGATTTTTAAACACATCACAATAGCGTGCACACAAAAAATGAATCTGGAGCAGAGAAAAAAATACTAAGCATCATACTAGACAGCTGTTGATTTTAAGAAGACAGAAGATTTATAATCATCACTATACAAAATATAAAATGTATTAAACACTACCATCCACAGAACAGTTTTTTAAATTGGTTATATTTAAAAAGTATCTGTGTAATTAATTATATAGTGAATTGCAAATGATTATACAATAACCTCCTTTTAGCTGGCAATACCTTGTCCCTCTACAGCACATCCAATCACATTGCAAAACTGAGCATCATCATTTATGCCATCAATAAAGGAAACAATTATTGATAATACAAGTAAATATTGTCTGGTCTATAAAGAACAAAATTAGTTTTCTTCCTTGAGCTCTGAAGTGCTTCTCATGCAAAATCAGCACTTTGTTTTAATTAACAGAGTGTACTACCAAGCAATGTTCAGAGTTGTAGACGCTCATGGATAAGACTAAATTTTTTTAAATCAAAGATTGAATGTAGACATGCAACCCTTTTGCTGATGGGTGCAAAACCCACTGTTGCATCACTTATCAAATTTATTGCCCTTTGGGAATTTCATTCAAGGCATCCAAAATTAGACCTAATGATAAATATACATATAGTGAAAAAGGACACAGCTATTTGATACCACTAATGGTAGTCTGTGCTACGTGAAAGCACCTTTTAAAAAAGAGCCTATGCGGCAAGAGATAAGTGTCTAAAGATTCAAAATGAATCAACAGTATTGGATAACAATATAATTCTCAACTCAGAAGCTGCCTCAAGATTAGGTGCATCTTCAGTTAATGTAACAGGAAAAAAAGGCAATGGGTTTTATTTTATTAAACGCATCCGTTCAAACTGACCTAAGGCCACCAGATTTGCAGACACAATGTGTTTCTTTTTTTTTCTTTATACAGTTCTTTAGGCTGTAAAATGATAAAGGAATAGATCTATTTAAAAAAAAAAACAAAAATAATTATTTCATCTAGATTAAGAAGTTGACCCAGGCGTTGGATTCACGTTCTGAGTGGCCACTTGTGGTGCAACCTCAATGATTCGAGGTTTGTCTATAATTCTGGCCGTGCGGTTGCCCTTTTCTACAATCCCAATAATCCATGCTTGGTGACCTTCACCATATTTTGGAGATTTGATTTCGGCACAGAAACGTGCTGCCTGTTCACGTGGCAAACAGATAAGTAGGCCTCCTGAAAGGAAGAGGAATTACCATTAGCTTTTATTCATATTTCAGATTAAAAATTACAGACTCGTCCCCTGAAAAATTCCTTACAGTCACTCAGAGCATTGTCTAAGGCAGTGGTGTCGAACTGTGGCCCTCCAGATGTTCTTGGACTTCAACTCCCAGAAGCCTTCACCACCACCTCTGCTGGCCAGGCTGGAGGGCCACAGTTCGACACCACTGGTCTAAGGCATAATTGGCAATAGAAAGGCTGACCAAGAAAGGAAGCAGAATATGTATAGGCAAAATACGTCTCCTCACATTGGTTAATGCTACCAAGGCACAAAACCTGTCTGTTTCATTGGGGTTAGCTTGCTTGGGTCCATCCCATCCAGATCTCTAAACACTTTCTACTCCACAGATTTTGTTCATTTTTATTTTTCACATTTCTGCTAACAGGTTAATTGATTTCCTCTACAGAATTGTAGAGAAGTTCTGTTTTTATTTATTTTCGTATTTGGTGAGGCTTATGAAGCAAAACAATCAGGAACTCACTGCCTAAACAATTCTGACTAAGCTTATCAACAGAGCTGTCACCAAATCTTGTATCATGACTCATGACAGTCTTGATCTGATGCTTCTGAGTTAAAGACACAAGACCTCTTGAATACACAGAACTCTTATGAATAAAGTACACAATTGCCTCAGAAGCTGCTTATCCCTACACTTGGTACAGCATGCTGTACATTAAAGTCCACCTTATAGTTACCACAAACCCAAATGTGAATTTCGTTGTATGGTATACTGTGTATATACTTACAATGACAATAAATTATATTATTATTAAATGAATAACATTGTTTTTAGAGTAAATAAAATGGAACATGGGGTAGATAGACCCTAAAGTCTATACATTAAAGCCTATATTGCAAATTCATTGCTATAAGGAAACCATTTCAGTAATTTCCTTGTGATAATTAAATGTAGTCTAACCATTAGTCTACCTTTCTCAAACCAGAAAGAATATTCTACAATCCTGATGTTATAAATGAATTACAGGTTCTGTCAGGTTTATAGATTATTGTTGTAGATGATTGTTTATAGATGATTATTCTTCAGCAGAAATTGTTGCCATATTTCCCCCATTCTGCCTACTCTTATTTCTCAAGGGATCTTGGGAAAAATAATACAGCAGATTTGTTTAGTATCAACTTTTTTCAAAGAATGACTGCAAAACTGAAGTCACTGCTTACTAAAAAGGACAAAATACCTTAGATATTTTTGACTATGAAAGTTACAAACCATATTCAGTTTTTTCCCACATACTACAAAGAGGGATAGAGAACATGACACAAAGAGGTACATAATGAGTGATGGAAGAATACTGATAACAGATTATTTATCATCAGTTCATATGCAGAGGCGTACTTAATAAATGGGCACATAAGCCACTTTTTGCTTTTCTAAATTGTAAGGTAATCACTACTAGCACCTTGAAATAATAAAAAGCACAATCCTACAGTGTGTGAGAAAGCAAATGTTTCTCCACAGAAATTTCTTATCTGCAATAATGCTATGGCCTCTTTATGTGCACTTTGCAAATTACAAAATACAGCTATAGTTTTCATATAGGTTTTAAAATATGCTCTGCCCAACAAACCAGAAGTAGGTTATTTGCATGCTTTGGGAAAAGAGCACCATCTATTGGTCATCTAGAATAAAATAATCAAGTATTTCATGCATAGAAATGAAATTACAGTATTGTATGCAAAATGATTAATATGACATATTGCCTACATTATATTTAAGCCTAAATATCAAATATATATAACATAAACTGTTTTAATATGGCAAAGCAATGGTATACCATATAATACCAGTATCTATCTACAGTGGTACCTTGCAAGATGAATGCCTCACGCCACGAAAAACTCACAAAACGAAAGTGTTTTGTGATGTCCTAGGCACTTCGCAAGACTTTTTTCCTATGGCTGTGCTTCTCAAGACATTTTTTTTCCATCTTGCAGTGATGCTCACAAGATGAAAAAAATGGTATTCGTCTTGCGAGGTGTTTCATAGGAATGCTTCGAAGGCAATTTCAATGCATTCCTATGAGAAACCGCGCTTCGCAAGATGACCGTTTTCGTGATACGAAGGGACTTGCAGAATGAATTGTTTTTGTCTTGCCCGTCTACCCATACAAGATAAAATGTTCAGTGTCCAATGAAAACTTAAACTCTTATTTAAACTTTGTGTTACAAAAATTATTTTACTGTTATGACTACCAAGATGTTTAGTTATGCATTCTGGTTGCAGCAAGATTAATATTTCCTGCAAGTACTTGCTACAAGGAAATACTGAGCCTTGCTTGGTAAACTGGTTGTACAAGCAAGAAGTGCCAGAAAAAATCTTGTTCACAAGTTTGATGATGGAATATAGTTATTTATTCTATATAGTAAGGATAACAGACTGAGGCACTCTGCACAAAAAAGGAATGTTTACAACTGTAGCCAACAATTCTAGTACTTGGAACTCCACAGGCAGTAATTTTAGCTGTAAGTTGCAAAGTTTTTATTTATAAATATTTTTATAATAAAAAATAATGATGTGTAATCCAATCAATTCCGACTGATGGCAGCCCTTTTCAGGGTTTTCTAGGAAGAGAGTATTTAGAAGTGGTTTACTGTTCTTTTCTTCTGGGGGGGTGCCCTGGGACTGCGCTGCTTGCCCAATGCCACACAGGCTGGATCTTCTCCCAGGAGGGACAGTGGGGAATTGAGCTTCCAACCTCTGGCTCTGCAGCCAGATACCCAACTCACTAAGCTATCCAACCAGCCAGAAGGTTTTTACATATGCCTTTAAATAAGTTTCCAAATCAGTTGATAACAGAAGAATAAAACACACTCAATACAATACACAACAATCAGTTTACAATTAGCACTACTTTAAAACTTATTAAATTCAGGCAAATGGATAAATCCTTTATTGGTGTCCAGACAGACAACAAGGCAGGCATCAGGCAAGCTTCTTCTGAGAGGTAATTTCATAAAGGGCATCCCAACGCTAAGAAAGCCAGTTGCCACACCTTTGATCTAAATGTGTGTGAGAGTCTGGAAAATGTATGCAATTGGTGGAGGTGGTCCCCATGCAACCCACACAAAACAGGCAAGTAAATCTCCTACTCGTACAATTGCCAACTTTTCAGGATCAAGTCTCAATAGATGGCCCTTCTTTAGCTCATTACCAATTTGAGATACTGATTTACCGCTTCATTATCTTGATAAAGAAAATTTGGAGTAATAAGCATATTGATGACATCTTACCCCAAATGCCCAGAAGACTTATATACACGGAGAAAAGCATGAGGAAAATATGCAACATTTCCAAACCTGAGCTAAACCACCAGAATACTAAGCCAACGGCCACAGGGAGCAGTTTCTAACACTATTAAGAGAAGTTCAGGAGAATTAGCAAAGTTGGAGGGGACACAGAAGGAATTTCCCTTAAGAATATGGCGCCTTTGATCCTTTAGGACAGGGGTCCCCAACCCCCGATCCGTGGCCCAGAGCCAGTCTGTGGGCTTGCCAGAACTGGGCCATGGAGATGCCCCCCACCCACACGCATGGTGGACATGTCGCACACCCGCAGGGACGTGTCGCGTTTGCAAGGGGGTGCCCCACCCCTCATGCATGGAGCCCACATCCCTAAGCAGTCCGTGGTCCCAAAAAGGTTGGGGACCGCTGCTTTAGGAAGTTCAATTTGAAATAAACAAATTAAATACAGTGGTGCCTCACATAACGAGTGCACCGTTTAACGACGAATCCGCATAGCGATCTATATTTTAGATCGCTAATGCGATCGCATTGCGATCTTTTAATGGGCAAAACATCGCACTGCGCTGACCAGTAAGCATTTCACTTACTGATCTTCGCATTGCGATGTTTTTAAACAGCTGATCGGCGGTTCGAAAATGGCTGCCAGGTGCCCAAAATGGCCGCCGCAACCATTTTCGCACAGTTTCCTCACTTACCGATGGTCCGAAAATGGCGGCGCTATGGAGGATCTTTGCTGAACGGTGAGTTTGGGCCCCATAGGAACGCATTAAACAAAATCTAATGCGTTCCTCTGGGTTTTTCCATTCCGTTTAGCGATGTTTTCACATAGCGACTATTAATCCGGAACGGATTAACGTCGCTATGCGGGGCACCACTGTAATGTGAAAGCTATGAATACATTTGGGCATCCTCTGGGGAATGATAATGCCCTGTCAGGTCATCCTTCCACTCCAGAAGCACCACTGGATTGCTACTGACACGAATGAAGAGGAAACAGAGTCACATTCTCTGTTCTTATCCTTGGTTATTCTTCCATTACAGCAACGAAGGCAGTTGGTTTCAGTGTTTCTGTTGTCTTTAATGTTTTAATACGTATAAAGCAGTTTTAACAACTGCTTCACACAAATACACCATTTTATTTTATGGTCACAATTTTATCTTATTCTACCTGAAATGTTCCAAGGATTGCCAAAATGCAACGCTTAATTTTGTAATCTGGACACTGGCCTGATTGTGTTAACTAATTCTTTGCATCACTCCAGAAAATAGACAAGTTATCATATTATATCCCCTGCTACACATGTAAAATATTACAAAATTCTTAGGAGAAAAAAGTATTTGACGAAGAGTTTTACCTGAAGTCTCGGGACAAGTTCCATGCATAAGACCAAACATATTTCCACATGCCTTGCTAACTGCAGCCATTTTGGCAAGAACGGGGAGGTTATGTATAACGAAAGACACCTCATTGCGTTGTTGCTTGGCTAGATTTTGTGCATGCCCCAGGATTCCAAAACCTGTGATGTCTGTGGCTGCGTGAGCGTTGAACGTGTGCATCAGCCCTGCGGCTTGAAATGAAAATGAAACAGAAGTTACACATCTTTAAACTTCTGACTATAAGAACTGTATCTATCAACTTTACAGTTCCAACTGAATCAGATTAAACACTCTGTACTATGTGTGCAAATAAATTTGTATTTGTTCAACAATGCATCCCAGCCACAAACTTTCTGATAAAACGTAAGAAGAAAAATGTTTCAAGAACAGACCATCAGATGCTGTGTTGGGGCTGAATATCTGTTTGTGGGAACAGGGATGACACTCTAACATAGCAACTTACAAACCCAGTAGAAAATTCAAAAGGAATAAGAAACTGGGAGACAATAAGAAAGCAAACTGATTCACATCTCATCTCTTACATGATTATATGAATAAAATAGTGGTTGAAAAAAACAGTAGAGGAGAAGCCAATATCATTAATCCTAACAAGGACTACTGAGTGGACCTCATATGTTCTCTTTTCACTCAAGCTTTCTCTTTGTCTCTGATATAGAAAGATATGTCCCACAGACATACATCCTGCCATAGAATTGTGCTGAATTCAGGTCTACCTTAAAAATATACATGAATATATGAAAAACATTCACATCAAAGAAAGAAAAAGTAGTAGCAATACATTAGGAATAGACCATGTATAAGCTATGGCTGGCAATATCCCAAGCACATGTTGCCAAATGCCAGAAAACTAATGATGGCATGAAATAAGTCTAAATATTTATATACTAGTGAACAAAATACTATTTATGTCAGCTTTTAAGAATGTAATAATGGTGTCTAAGAATTTAAATATTTCTTTAGCCCTGAGGGAAGCTTTTATGAAAATGCAAAGTGCCTAGGCATTAATCATATACTATTAATCTTTGAGTTTAAAAACAAATCATTTGTTGCCCAGAAGAAAAAAGAACACAGAAACAATTAAGGAATAGCACGGAGAGAGAGTTTTAAAATTGCTCCAAGTCATAAAGCTATTCTGATTTTAATTTACATAACAGAATAAAGTGTCTACACATTCCCAAGCACTTTGAAAATTCAACTTCTTTCCAAAGCATCTGCCAATGCCATCAGGCTCTTCCCTCTAATATCAGCACCAACAGCCATTCCATACAAGAGGTTGTATCAGAGAAAAGATGCAGAGATAAGAGCAGCCATTATTAAAAAAAACTACTTCCTCTCCATTTCTTTTTGTTATGACTTCTACACTGTATGCTTGAAGGGATTCTCTTTCACTGAATATGTATTAAGCTAGTATGGGAATCTTTCTAGTTGAGAAGCAGGGTTAGAATACTTCAAATAAATAAAACATGCTAAAAGCAATATTTTTCAAGTTTAAGTGAATCATTTAACCAACTAATGTGCCAGGTTCTGTAGTATAAATAGTATACAACTTCTGAAAATTATTTAATTCAAAGTGACTTAACTAGTCATTTCATTTCTTCAGTTTAAAAATAATATATCAAGTAAACATTTAACATTCCTATACCTGTTCTGTTGAGTCTTGCCATATTCATCATTGCTTCTTGATACGCTAACTCTACATCTTCTTGCGTAACAACCAGTTTGATTTTATTCCATTTTTCTGGCTGATGTGTAAAACAAGAAATGATATCATTTTTGCTATACCACTGGCAACACAAGCATAATGGAATAATTACTGGGCATACAAAGTACAATAAGAAACATAACTAGTGTTCTGCTGAATTAGACCAAGGGCCCATCTAGCTCAGCAACAATCAACCAGATGGTTTAGGGAAACCCACAAAACAAGGTATTAACGCAATAGCCTTTATTCCTCTGCAGCTGGGGTTCAGCAACACATTTCCCCTGAAAATGTGGGATATATGTAACCATCATGTTATAGCCATGAACAGACTAACAAATCCAATCCAATCTGGTACCTAGCAGTAATCTAAACCAGTGACAGCAAATTCCAGCAACTGGTCAATAGTGCTGTAGGTTGGGAAAGGTCCTACTGAAAATTTTCCCAAAATGGAAAATATTCTGATAAATTTTCCAATGCATAACTGCTCATTTCCTAAAATTTACGTAGTAATGAAAAGTAATATAATATAATATTTGGTAGGCTTGGCATTTTCAAAGATGTCAGCAAACCTATTCTTAATGAAGATTTAATTCAAAATCTTGATTAGTTATGTTCTAGCTGTTATTAGATAAAAGGTTTTCAAAGTAATTATCCTAAGTATTATGTGAAATAGTACACATACATATATATATATTTAAAGAAATTGTGAAGGTCTGGTGGTAACATAAAACTACAACTTGACACAATGAAACTAGTATCAAGTTATGAGTTCACCTTATGACCATGCAAATCAAATTAATATCAAAACTAGAACTGTGATTAAAGTTTCTTACTCTTTCAATAAGAGTCAGAGCATATCTCATTTCCTTTTTCCAACTTGGGAAGCTTTTATCCTCACAACATTCCTCTAAGTTTCTATCCATAACACTGGAATGATCCACTTAAGATTCCATGTAGTCCACTGGTGAATATTTTAGGTTTACAAGACAAAACAAATGCAGACGTGCAGAGGAACCCTAGGAGGGAGAGTAAGAGAATGACTTGGCCTAAATTCTCACAAGGAGGTTCATGGCCAAAAGGGAATTTGAACCCAGTTCTAGTCTAACAATCAGATACTGTATTTCGATTTACGTGCTCATGGACGGCTAAGACACACAAGAGTTTTATTTTGCCAAATCAAATTACTCTATTTAGGCCAGTGGAATGTTTTATAATTTAAAAAATTCAAGAAAATCTACATCATTTTTGGCAAAACAGCAAATTTCTTTTGTCTACTCTAAATTTTCCATCAAGCAGTTTCATTAGATGAAGTCAGTCTCAATGATTATGAGATGTGAGGTACTATCAAATGTATGTACATCACGTACATTTTTTTAACAATCATGTTATCCATTTATATAAAGAAGAATTTCCAAATGAAAAATGTGCAAAATATTCACACCAGGGAAGGGACAATCCCAGAAGTTGACTCCTCTTTTTTTTTGTCTCACCCAAACGCAAAGCAACTGTCAGAGCTGTTTTTCAACAAGTGTGAACGGTAGTGGCAGAAGAGGGTATCCTGTAAACCATATTGATTACTGCCATTGGTGTAGTCTACATTCAGGTTGCCCTTTTGCTATGTAAAGTTTGGCATCTTTTTTCCTGCTCACAACAAGGGCATGATATTGTGCAGCAAAACTGGGCAATTTCCTGGCATTTTGAATCATGGATACAGAAGCACAATATTCCACATTCATAAATAGGAGGTTTCTTTGGATACAGTAATTGAATTTCCTGACTTTTAAAACAGGGGTTTAAATATACATACACTACACACACAAATTCAATCATAAATTTCCTGCATTTAAAATTACCCAGTGCTAGAGGATACCAGAAGATAGCATATGATCTGTACTATGACTGCTTTAAGAGAACAGAAGCAAGAATAGCTGGGATGTGGCCATAGTCCATCCATACCAAAATATTCTTAAAGGCTGTTTTTGACTTAATATGTTGAAGCAATTGTGTGAGTAAGTGCAATACATACAACAGAAAAGCATACAGACCCTTTAAACTCTCAGGCAAACTAATGTTGCCATGCCCACCCCCACAGAATGCAGACTAGAAAGCCATGTTCCAATTTCCAAACTCTTTTCTTAGGGTAGGCAACCTGAGGAAGAATATCTATATTGGACCAAAAGTTCTTCAAGCGTGTTGTATGCATGTTTTCCAAAAGATGTTCCCTTGCCTTTTCAAACTATTAAAAACAAAACAACAACAAACAAAACAAAACGACAGAGGAGCTGAGAGTTAGCAAAGATTGTCACTGGCCAAAACAAAACAAAAAGACAGAGGAGCTGGGAGTTAGCAAAGATTGTCACTGGAAACTAAGGTCAAAATCACCCGTACTATGTAAAAGAAAGGCAGGGACAAAAATCATCTGAAATTTGAAATGGGATGTTGGAGGAGAGCCTTATAGATACCACAGACAGCTAAAAAGGCAAAAAATGGGTGCTTATTCAAGCCTGAAATTTCACTACAGCAAATAAAAGTAACCTGAGCTTATCCTACCATTTACATATAATGAAAATACAGAATTGACCAGAAAAGACAATATTGCTGGGAAGGGGGGGCAGTAAGTAGGAAAAAAGGAAGACCTAACTTGAGATGGATTGACTCTGGGTCAGTAAGTAGCAAAAAAGGAAGACCTAACATGAGATGGATTGACTCGATAAAGGAAACCTCAGCTGTTAGTTTGCAACACGTGAGGAAATCTTACTGGAAAAGATAATATTGTTAGGAGAGAGTAAAAATAGAGAAGACCTGACATGAGAATGTGTTAGTTTGCAAGATCTGGAAAAGATAGTATTGCTAGGAGAGAGTAGAAATAGAGAAGACCTAACATGAGAATGTGTTAGTTTGCAAGATCTGAGCAGAACTATTAACGATATGACTTTTTGGAGATAATTAACGTCACATCAGAAGTGACTTTATGGTGCCTAATGTCTTTGGAGGATTTTTTTTCTTAATTATCAAACAGTGGTACAGTCACAAGACATGTAGAAGTATTGCTAGGAGAGAGTAGAAATAGAGAAGACCTAACATGAGAATGTGTTAGTTTGCAAGATCTGAGCAGAACTATTAACGATATGACTTTTTGGAGATAATTAACGTCACATCAGAAGTGACTTTATGGTGCCTAATGTCTTTGGAGGATTTTTTTTCTTAATTATCAAACAGTGGTACAGTCACAAGACATGTAGAATAGTTGAAACTATGACAGGCTATAGGCACCAAAACTCTGCTAACATTAAGACCATCCCCCAGCTACAAAGCAAAATATAGCAACTGCACAGCTTAAATGAGCTTCTGAATATTTGTTCTCTATTCTTTTTAAAATATCTTTTAAAATATTTCTACAACCAGAACACAGAATACCTTTGCGAGCACCAGTGTCTGTTTGGCCAAGGAAGAGTTAGTAAGTTCTCCTCTGGATAGTCAAGTAATTGGGTCCTGACTGACAGGGTCAAAAGTTCAGAGTTCAGAGTTTGGGAGTTGATTTCCCCTTTGAAGACTTGTGCCAGGAGGAGCCTGGTCTCAGAACTCCAGAATTCTAATTGTATGACTTTGGGCTGCAACAAACACAACTGCTCTGTGCTGCTGTAATGCAGACATACTTTGAATACGACTTATAAAATGGGATGTTAATTCCCTGGGGATAAATGGCAAAATGTTCCTTTCTGGGAGACTGTCACTCCATTACTTTCTTCAAAGCAAGCCTGGTTAGTTTTTTCTTTTTAACAACAACAACAACCAAACAAACAACTGGTCTTTTGACTGTTTTGGTAACTTTTTACTACAATGTATCTATTTTAGAATGCTTTTGCTGGAAAGCCCATTCTATATATGCTCAGTCTTACAACAAAGTGGCTGTTTTCCCCTTTTGAAAAGCTTTTTTTGAGGATCTATATCAGTCTCTGCAGCCTGGATTCTTTCCAAAATTTTTTAAAAATAGGTGGAGCCAACTTTTCTCTATCAAAACAACAAGACTGGTCTTTTCAATTTGTATGAGCTATTTTAATTTGGGGACATTTAGGGTTGCTTGTTTTTGCACTGGAGGGTGGTGTAGTTTTACTTTTAAAAATCTTAACTTGAAATCCCTTTGCCTGAACTTACCCAAATTTGGCAAATAGCAATAACAAACTGTCTACTACAACTGTGCCTAATTTGGTGCTGATCTGAAGTTCAGTTTCAAAGTTATAATTTTTTGTTTGGGCTGCCCTCATTTTTTAATTGCCTTGTAGAATGTTGATTTGCTTTGCTGCACAATAGAACGCCCTTATACAATTTTTATTTTAAATCTTTTTCAAATACTCTCCAAGACAGATTTTGCCATGTTCACCCCTTCACCACATGAAACCAATTAGGAAAATTTTAAGCTATCTACCACAATCCTAAGATTTCTTTCCTTGTTATTCACACTCAGTTTAGATCCATAAGTGAATATTTGAACATAGAATTTTGCATCTACTTCTACTGCACTCACAGTTCCTCATTCAATGAGGTTATAGAGATTTTCTGATGCTCTTTGATGTCCTTGGGGATTTTCATCATACAAAACAGTTTGTTGCCCTAAGCATATTTACTCAGAAGTACGGTCCATAACGTTCAGTGCAGTTTACAGCCAGGTAAGTGCACAGACTGTAGTCTTAATTAATTTCAATATTATGCAAACTCTAAATGGTCAAATATGAACACCAATAACTGTTTTTTAAAAGGTTTCATAATTTTTTATTAAAGTTTTTAATTTGAAAAAGAAATTAACAATCAAAGTATAACAAATACATTACAGATCATGGGATCTGGTAAAATGGGTACTAGGAAGGGAAATATGAAACTACCAGCTTTAAGAGGGGGAGTAAAGGGATTAGAAAGTAGATAATCAAATACAACATTCCACATAGAAGCATGCAATTGAGTAGGATATGTCTTATTATTGTTAACATAATTAATAAACGGATAACAAGTGCTGAAAAACAGATCTTGTATGAGTAGATTTGG